AGAATTGTCAACATGTCAACGACTATGTTGAACAAAATTGGTGACATCGGATCTCCTTGTCTCAGCCCCTTGTGTGTCTGGAAATAATGACCTATGTCATCATTTACCCTGATTCCAACACTCCCTTTTTGCGTTAAATAATCTACCTGGTCTCTCCAGGCCTGATCGAATCCTTTCATACACAAGGCCTGCTGAAGAAATGGACATTTTACCTTGTCGTACGCTTTCTCAAAATCCACTTTGAAAACCACTCCATCTAGTTTTTTCGTCTGGATTTCATGGAGCGTTTCATGCAGAACCACAACCCCTTCTAGGATGTTTCTGTCCGGCGTGAAAGCAGTTTGAGACGGCTGCACCACAGAATGCGCAATCTGCGTAAGCCTATTAGTCCCAACTTTGGTGAAAATTATAAAGCTAACATTAAGAAGACAGATCGGCCTAAATTGCTCAATCCTCACGGCCTCTGTTTTCTTAGGAAGCAAAGTAATTGTTTCGAAGTTCAAGTGAAACAACTGTAACTGTCCCGAGAATAGATCCTGGAACATCGAGAGCAAGTCCCCCTTAATGATGTGCCATCACTTTTTATAAAACTCCGCCGGAAAACCATCCCGTCCTGGAGCTTAATTATTTTTCATTTGTGAAATTGCTTCAAACACCTCTTTCTCTGAAAATGGGGCTGTCAAAATGTCATTCTCATCTGCTGCGAGTTGGGGAACATCCTCAATCCTCAACTCATCCAAGGATACGAAATTATCCTCGGGACGCCCAAACAACTGCTTATAGTAATTGGTGATATATACCTTTAGGTTCTCCTGACGTAAAATCGTCCCCTCATCTTGCTCAAGCTGAAAGATTCTCTTCTTTCGATGATTGCCATTCGCAATCATGTGGAAGAATTGTGTGTTATCATCCCCTTGGACGATTTTGTGAACTTTAGCTCGCGGAGCCCACTTCAATTCCACCTCATGAAGTAGTTCTTTCAGTCTTAATTCCGCCTCCACTTTAGTTTCCAGCTCTCTGGTATCTAAAATGGAGGACTCAGCTTTTAAATCTAGGGATTGAATAACTAAAAGGAGTCTTTCCTTCTCAGCCTTATATATCTCACTCAGGTGTTTGGCCCAACCCCGTAAGAACTGCCTTAAATGCCTAATCTTATTCTGCCATCTCTCAACATTCATCTCCCTCCTGAATCTTTAGCCCATTCTCTTGCAATTAGATCCAGGAATCCTTCTCTTTCAAACCACGCTGATTCGAAAGAAAACATATTCTTGTTCCCCACATGCGTTGCCTCTGCCGAGTCAACCAATAATGCGGTATGATCGGATATAGCGCGAGAGAGAGCATGGACCATCACTAGGGGAAACTTCTGCTCCCACTAGACGCTCGCTAGGACCCGGTCCAACTTCTCAAATGTCGGGATGGTAATGTATTGGCCCATGTGAACTTTCTACCAGAAAGCTCAATCTCTCGAAGGTCTAAGCTTTTAATAATTGTATTAAACATAAACGACCATCTGCCATCAAAGTTATCATTGTTTTTCCCCTCGTCTATGGATAATGTTAAAATCACCCCCAATCAGGATTGGGAGCTGCTCGTTACTGCAAATACGGACTAAATCCGCCAAAAAGTCTGGTTTGAGTTCAGGCTGCGTGGCACCATACACCGCCACCAAAGCCCAATTAAACCCATCAGCCTTCGACCAAACTCGAACCTTAATCGCAAAATCTCCCATGACAACAATTTGAACTTCCAACGAATCGCATTTAACCCTAGGTAAAATCCCACCAGATCTTCCTCTTGGAGGTAGGCAATGCGAATCGAAATCAACCCCTCCCGAAAGAGTACTAAGAAACTGGGGGTTGAAATTGTCCCTTCCAGTTTCAGACAGGGCAATAAAATCCAATTTGTGTTCTATAGAAGCATCCTCTATAAATCTTCTTTTAGCCAAGTCCTTAAGACCTATGCTATTCCAAAAAATTCCTTTCATATTTCATCATGAAATTTTTTAGTGGTCGGGATCCTAGCACTTCTACGCACGACCGAAGCCGGATAAATCCTTCGATTCCACTTGCGTTTAGACTTGTTTTGGTCCTCTACCAGGTCCTCACAACCGAGCTCAGTGGACCTAGCCACCTGAGAATCTGCAAGAATGGAATCAATTGGGGAAGTAGAATACTCATCCTCCTCAATCTCAGGAAGAGAGGGTGCGAGATCCGCACAAAAGCTATCAAGCACATTGAACCCCAAAGCATCTAAATCTGAATTGTTCATAGGTTTGACAACCGCTAGGTTTCTAATCATCTCTAAAGCATGCTCCGCTTCAAGATCTAGGATATCTTTAATGGATTTAGAAACTTCATTATCATTACTACCCAGGGATACTCCCAACTGATTTGCATTATGAATAATCTCATCATTAGAAAAATGCAAGATAGAATTGGAAGTGTTGACTGACATACCGTAGTGACCTCAATATCACGAAGCTTGGCCGCCCGCATGGCGCACCGTAGCTGATGTCCATCCGGCTGATCCTGGAGGGGACAGCTCATCCGTCAACCTTCGGATACAGGATCTGGAATCCCTTGAAAAGCGATAATGTCATCCCGTGTGGCCCCGTTCGGGGTAGGGCCTCCTGCCCGCCCCCAACAGGGCTCAACTGAGCTGAATCAGCCGGAGTGCTGCCCTGCATTGTCGGCAGAACCGGTGAAGCTCCCCCAGCCATCACCGCCACAGGGCTCGGCGCGCCCGGACATCTCGCTCCAAGACCGCCGCACAGGGCCCGAGCAGGGGCCGTCCCTCCAGGGGCGCCAAGGGAGAGGTAGGGGCGAAGGCCACTTGCCCACGCCCCCTCCCGATCCGGCACCTCCTCCGGTGTGCAGCACGTCCGCCAAGGGAGAGGTAGGGGCGGAGGCTACCTGCCCACGCCCCCTCCTGGTCCGGCACCTCCACCAGCGTGAGGCACGTCCACAGCTACACACGGCATCGCCGGACTCCTCATCCACAGAGAAGCACCACCCAGATCAAGAGTAGCGGGGGGACGGAGGGCCTCCTGCCCATGATCCTCCCCACCCTCGAAGCAAAGCTCGACAGCCCAACCAAGCTCCATCCCCGGAAACACCATCATCTCGGAGTCCGTCCCCGGAGATGCAAGTATCATCGGTGACACACTGTCAGAAACCAACACCGGCGGTAACTCGAGTTCCGCTAGATCGTCCGTCTCCACCTGGTTACTCCATAGCCGACTAGCTGCCATGAGGAGCTGGACGGGATGACGAAGTCCTTTTGCTTACTCCGGTGGTAATTTTCCTTTTTTCTGCACCTAGCTTCATGTATTTACATTCTTTTGTTCTCGTTTGCATCAACCATTTGATTATTATGATTGTTTCTGCTTTGTCCAAGGTATTTTACTTTGATTCCTAGAGAACAATAAATCGGGACTTCATCATCTCATGCCAATTTTGGATTTCGTTTTCGCCATCTTCACCTTCATGGGAGCAAAAGTAGATAAAAAATTGTACACCATTCCAAGTACCCTTGCAGACAATAGCCGGAACAAAGTGTCACATGTGAGCATTATGTCTAAACAAATATAAGCATAGAGACCACATATGTTTTAGAAGCAACCGGTCAAACAAATTATATTTATGCATTGTTAGAAAACCCTTGTGGGAAAACCATGGGCAAACGTATCTTTCACTTTATCAGGAGTGTCTAGAAACACAGACTTACAATAAGTCATGAACTCATCCTGAAGTATATGTTGTTGGAGCATAAACGGGAGGGAGAAGAATCAGTGGAAAGTCAGGATATTTGTGCCGCGTATAACGTTGCAGATTGTTTGCTTTGTTTTCCTATTTATTTAAACAGCTCATTAGCTCAATTAAGTAACAGAAAGATCCTAATCTTGCGCTATGACCAAGCTTCACGGACATGCCATCCCACGTCCCTTGACCATGCCTCAAGTTTTAAGCCGCTACGCCGGTACTCGTGCCATCCCACGATGTGATCATAACAGCATGTAGCTACTGATCCGGCCATGTCGTGAACAGGCTCACACTGCATGTACCGGTTTTGTTTTTGCTAGAAATAAAACCTACGAGATGACATGTGAGAATTATAGACTTCAACATATATAGGTGGGATATGAGTGACTCGACGCAAAACGGAAACCTCAATCGGCTTCTCACTAGAATTCAGATAATATATCAACAGGCATCCCTTACTTGCAGTGCGCTGAAAGGCACGTGATATGGATTAGAAGAGGGTCGTTGGATGAGTGTTTTGTATGCCTCCTGCATGTTTGGCCTTGCTTATGGAGAAGATTCCAAGCAAGAGAAGGCCAGCTTGATGAGCAGAGCTAAGCTATTCTCTTCCGTTGTTGTTGGTGTTGTCGGTCGTTGGTTCAGAATATCATTCACCAGTATAGTTGGTTCCTCGCTTGGTAAACTACCGTCCAATAGATCCATTGGATGCTTCCCCATCACAAGCTCTAGCACAACAACACCAAAGGTATAGACATCACATTTCTCTGTCACAACAGATGTATGTGATAGTTCTGCAGAAAATCAAAACATTAGAATTGGGAACAAATGCACCGAGATGAATGCATCTGATGTGAGAATAAATGTTATGCTAGTACATACCAGGGGCTATGTAGCCATACGTTCCTGCTAGTACACCCAGTTTGACGAATCGGGCTTAAGAATCCTTGTTGTGCCGAAATCCGAGACAAAAGCCTTGGAGGTTGTATCAAGCAAGATGTTGTTGGTTGTGATATCTCGATGGATTATAGGTGGACTGCATTCATGGTGCAAATAAGATATTGCTTGAGCCACATCATTTGCAACAACAATTCTCTTTTGCCAATCTAAGCCTTTTGCTAGCTCCTCATTTTCCAATGTTTTGTGGAGGCTACCCAGCTGAATGTAGTCATAGACAAGAATTTTATACGCTGGATGGGAGCAGAATCCATACATTTTCACAATGCTTCATTGTCGTATCTGTGATAAGATTTCCATTTCACGTCGAAATCTTCTTTCGTCATCCAACTCCTGTTCGGTCTGATGAAGCTTCTTCACAGCAACTAGCTGCCCGTCTTGGAGTGGTGCCTTGTAGACTTTGCCATATCCTCATGTTCCAATGATGTACTTATCGTCGAAGTTTTCTGTTGCCCTTACAATATCGTCAAATTCTAATCTTCCATCAAAATTCCAAACGGAGAATAGGTCTCTTTCTTCAGCACCACTAGTAGAAAAAGGGTCAAACGTGCAGCACATTAGTGCCGGTTTGTATTAGAGCCGGCACTAATGTATACATTAGTGCCAGTTCCAATGGCTAGCCGGGCCGCTCTCATTAGCACCGGTTCGTGCCACGAACCGGTACTAATGAGGGTGGTGGCAGGATGTTGTCAGTCTGGGCCCCCTCCAGCACCTTTAGTACCGGTTCGTGCCACGAACCGGTACTATAGGTCGACGTACATAAACCCTTCGTCCACCCGAGCCACTCTGTTCTTCCCCTTTCCCCTCACTTCTCCTCTGTTCTTCCCCTTTCCCCTCGAGCTCCTCACAAATTTTGCCCAATATTTGTCAAGATTTGAAGGCCCCCATCCATTCAAATGATCACAAAGGTTAGCAACTTTGTCCTTTCAACTCTCATTGCTAGATTAGCTCTTCCCATGCTTTGTATAGTTACTAATTTGTGAGTTTAGTAATTTGGGAGGAAATATATATATGTGCTAGTATTTGATTTATATGCAACCTGAGGTCAAAAATAACACTTAGTTTGCATATGTAGGTGTGGTTTACTTAGTGCCTTCTAAATCTCCATCGTAACCACCGTCGATCGCCCGCACCGTCCCGTCACCGGCACCACCTTGTGGTGAGCCTCTTGTTCATGTAATTTTATATAAAAATTGATGTTTGTGTGATTTGGATATATAGTTAATCATGTAATAATTATCTTACCCGTACGTTGTTTGTTATACATAGTGCCATGGTTTTGATATCCGTCCCCGTCGGCCCTCGTCCTTGTTATGATTCGGATGTGGTATATTCTCTTTTAAAACTATTAGTTGCATTTCGTGTTTATGACAAATTATGCCCATCAAGTTGACATAGATATTTTTATCTTGGAGGTATGTGAACCGGAAATTCCAACCGACCCTATTGTCGAGAGGTTAAATTTAGTTGAAAGAGAAAACGAGTACTTGAAAGAAAAATTGAAAAGAATTGAGGGGGAGAAGATGGAATTGGAGTTGCATGTTGCCGATGTCGTCGATGATCACAAGATCAAGATGGAGAAAATGCGCTTGAAGAATAGAAAGATTAGAAAATATGCCATCGATAGTGAGGCTTGGTATCATTATGCTGTTGGATCAATTGTTACCTTAGTTGCGATCTTGATCGCATTTGTTGTTGCATTTAAATGCTTTAGCTAGAGAGTTATTTGTTTGTTGCATTTAAGTGTTGTATGAACTTTATGTATGAACTTGTATTAATTTTGTCTATTCGGTGTTGTGTAATGAAGATGAGCCGGCAATGGATGTACGATGACCGATGCTCTCCCCAGTTCGTTGAGGGCGTGCATACTTTTCTGCTTGCGGCTGAGGCAAACAAGCGGGCGGATGGTTTTATGCCTTGTCCATGTGCTGTCTGTAAGAATGATCGCAATTACTCTACGTCAAGAACCATTCACGTCCACCTGTTTGAGTCCGGTTTCATGCACCACTATAATGTTTGGACCAAGCACGGAGAAAGAGGGGTTATGATGGAAGACAATGAAGAAAAAGAGGACGACGACAGCTATCCTGGCCATGGGTTCCCTGAATACGATGATACAACAATGGGGGAAGTAGCTGAGCCGGTAATGCGGGAAGAAGCTGAGCCGGCAATGTGGGAAGAAGCTGAAGAAGAGGCATCAGATGAGCCCGTTGATGATCTAGGTCGGGCCATTGCCGATGCAGAGAGAAACTTCGCAAGTGATTTGGAGAAGAAGAAGTTGCAGCGCATGTTAGAGGATCACAAAAAGTTGTTCTACCCGAATTGCGAAGGTGACAAGAAAAAGCTGGGCACCACACTGGAATTGCTGCAATGGAAGGCAGAGAATGGTGTATCTGACAAGGGATTTGAAAAGTTGCTGGTAATGATAAAGGATATGCTTCCAAAGGACAACGAATTGCCCGAGAGTACGTACGAAGCAAAGAAGGCTGTCTGCCCTCTAGGGTTAGAGGTGCAAAAGATACATGCATGCCCTAATGATTGCATCCTCTACCGCGGTGAGTACGAGGATTTGAACGCTTGCCCGGTATGTGGTGCATTGCGCTATAAGATCAGCGCGATGAGCCTGGTGATGTCGAGGGCGAGCGCCCCAGGAAGAAGATTCCTGCCAAGGTGATGTGGTATTCTCCTATAATACCACGGTTGAAATGTTTGTTCCAAAACAAAGAGCATGCCAAGGCGATGCGATGGCACAGAGAAGACCGTAAGAAAGACGGAAAGTTGAGAGTACCCGCCGACGGGTCGCAGTGGAGAAAAATTGAAAGAAAGTACGAGAAGGAGTTTGCAGATGACGCAAGGAGCGTTTGGTTTGGTCTAAGCGCAGATGGCATTAATCCTTTTGGGGAGCAGAGCAGCAACCATAGCACCTGGCCTGTGACTCTATGTTTGTATAACCTTCCTCCTTGGTTGTGCATGAAGCGGAAGTTCATTATGATGCCAGTGCTCATCCAAGGCCCTAAGCAACCCGGCAACGACATTGATGTGTACCTAAGGCCATTAGTTGAAGAACTCTTACAGCTGTGGAATGGAACAGGTGTACGTGCGTGGGATGAGCACATGGGGGAAGAATTTGACCTCAAGGCGTTGCTGTTCGTGATCATCAATGATTGGCCTGCTCTCAGTAACCTTTCAGGACAGACAAACAAGGAATACCGCGGATGCACGCACTGTTTGGATGATACCGACAGTATATATTTGAATAGTTGTAAGAAGAATGTGTACCTGGGACATCATCGATTTCTTCCGAGCAGGCATCCCGTAAGAAAGAAAGGCAAGCATTTCAAAGGTGAGGCGGATCACCGGACGAAGCCTCGCCACCGTACTGGTGCTGATGTACATGATATGGTCAAGGATTTGAAGGTGATATTTGGAAAGGGTCCTGGCGGACAACCTGTTCCGAAGGACGCGGACGGACGCGCACCCATGTGGAAGAAGAAATCTATATTTTGGGACCTGCCATATTGGAAAGACCTAGAGGTCCGCTCCGCAATCGACATGATGCACGTCACGAAGAATCTTTGCGTGACCCTGCTTGGCTTCTTGGGCGTGTATGGGAAGACAAAAGATACACCTGAGGCACGGGAGGACCAGCAATGTATGCACGGAGAAGACGGCATACATCAGGGTCATGCAAGCTACGCTCTTACCAAAGAAGAGAAGGAAATCTTCTTTGAATGCCTGCTCAGTATTAAGGTACCGTCTGGCTTCTCGTCGAATATAAAGGGAATAATAAACATGGCAGGGAAAAAGTTCCAGAACCTAAAGTCTCATGACTGCCACGTGATTATGACGCAACTGCTTCCGGTTGCATTGAGGGGGCTTCTACCAAAAAACGTTCGATTAGCCATTTTGAAGCTATGTGCATTTCTCAATGCAATCTCTCAGAAGGTAATCGATCCAGAAATCATACCAAGGTTACAGAATGATTTGGTGCAATGTCTTGTCAGTTCCGAGTTGGTGTTCCCACCATCCTTCTTCAACATCATGACGCACGTCCTAGTTCACCTATGCGAAGAGATTAACATTTTGGGTCCTGTATTTCTACACAATATGTTCCTCTTTGAGAGGTTCATGGGAGTCTTAAAGAAATATGTTCATAACCGTGCTAGGCCAGAAGGAAGCATCTCCAAGGGCCATCAAAATGAGGAGGTCATTGAGTTTTGTATTGACTTTATTCCTGACCTTAAGCCGATTGGTGTTCCTGAATCGCGGCATAAGGGCAGACTGGATGGAAAAGGCACGCTAGGAGGGGAACAAATAATATGTATGGACGGACATTCTCTCACTAAAGCACACTACACAGTTCTACAGAATTCCACCTTGGTGGCTCCGTATATGGATGAACACAAGAATTTGCTACGCTCCAAACACCCGGAGCGGTCTGATGAGTGGATTACACGTGAACAAATCAGGAGTTTCGCCAACTGGTTGCAGACACGTACCATGCATGACACCTCTATTGAAGATGACTTGTACTTGCTATCCAAGTTACCATCTTCGAATATAATGACTTTCAAAGGGTACGAGATAAATGGTAATACATTTTACACGATCGCCCAAGATAAGAAGAGCACCAACCAAAACAGTGGTGTCCGCTTTGATGCAGAAACCAAGACGGGAAAGGAAACATATTATGGTTATATACAAGACATATGGGAACTTGACTATCGACGTTGTTTAAAGGTCCCTTTGTTTCGGTGCAAATGGGTCAATATGACACGAGGCGGGGTAACGGAAGACCCGCAGTATGGAATGACAACAGCGGATCTCAACAATCTTGCGTATACAGACGAACCATTCGTCCTAGCCAATGATGTGGCACGGGTTTTCTATGTGAAGGACATGTCTACCAAGCCAAGAAAAAGAAAAGATAAGAAAGCGAATGCATCGTACGATGAGCCAAAGCGGCACATAGTTCTTTCTAGGAAGAGAAACATCATGGGAGTGGATGACAAGACAGACAAGTCAGAAGATTATGAAAAGTTTGATGAAATTGCTCCATTCACAGTGAATATTGACCCGAGCATCCCGTTAAATGATGAAGATTTTCCATGGTGACGGCGCAAAGGGACACACGCGAAGAAAAAGTTTCACACCCAAAGATCTGGGATGTGATCGGCTTCACTATCATCATTTTCTTCTATGTTTCACACCTAGGAGGGAATGTCTGTAATAGTTAGGGTAGTTATGTGTTTTGGCATTTGAAACGCGAAGAAATTTTATCTGCAAACAAATTCTTTTCA